ATGGCCGCTTGCAAGCTTTTAAGACCCCAGATGCCACTCACCAAAGTAGGATGCAGAACATTTTCTTAATAAGCTTTGTTATGCCAATTGCCCTAGATGTCCTCTGAAAGCATAGTCCCCAGAACCCTACCACTGCTACTCTGTCCCTCAAAGTGTTTGATTGTATTCAGAAACTTCTTAGCTTTGGTTTAGTCCAGTTGTGCTGACTTCCCCTGTAGTATGTGCCGTCTTTCCCTTCACCTAAGATAATTCTTATCTACTATCTAGTTAGTAAATAACCCCACCTTCTCTCCCCACCCTCATAACCATCAAAGAATGTTTTGTTCTGTTCACACAGTTCCTTACCACATCACACATATTACTAAGTATTTTTTTTTTAGCCCGTGCTGGGTGCTGGGGTTTTTTGGCCTGAGGAAGAATGGTGGAAAAGGGTATGGTGATGGAAGGGATCAATTCTAGAAGAACAAAAGAACCCATGTTATAATGAGGAGACAAGCCTGGGTGTATGTGTCTGAGTCCGTCCTTCTGTCCTTCATCCATCCCTCTCTCTCCATCTCTCAGTCTTTCTGATGTGCCAATCTGTGGGACCACAGGAAGCCACTGGAGCCAGGTGCTGCTCTGTGTAGTTCTGGCCTGTGAGGTCCTCTAGGAGCTCAGCATGCATCACACACCTTTGTTGAAGGACATGGGCTCTGGGTGCTACCATATGTCAAAGGTCAGGTTCTGGGTTAGATAGGCACAGCGATATGTGTGGATAAGTCCAACCCAGAAAGACAAAGCTGGCCTGGCACTGCTCTTGAGGGAGTCCCAGTGTGTTTGTTCATAGTGCTGTACTTGATCCTGTGCTGGAGACGTGGAGTGCATTTGACCACACTGCACACTTAAGTGATAACTAATACCTCTCGATAGCAGAAGGGGGCTAATGATTGTCACATGCGTTTTGTAACTGCCACCTGAAATACATACACACACACACTCAACTGTCCACATGCATGCATATACCCATAGGTAGGGACATACATCAACAGTCACATATATGTGTGGACACAAATACACATTCACATATAACATGCAAGTGTACATGTATGCATACGTGTATTTGCATACCTGTTCATTTGCATAGGCTCACGCCCACACTTTCAGTTACCTATATTTGTATGATTCCCCAAAGGCTGAGATATTTCCTATTTCTTTGCTTGAGTTGTGTTCTAGTAGGTTCCATCACAGTTGGTCCCAATAGCAGGTGAGAAGACTGGCTTGAGAGATCTGTAAAGCTAGCCAGCGTCCAGCCATGAGGGAATGTTAGGCTTTGCCTAGCCCCCGCTTGCTTTCCTTCTCACCCTCGCCTTCAGCGAGGGCCACACCTGAACTCTTTAACTGGGAGTTGGTCATCTTTTTATTAAATCAAGTCATCAGCTAACCATCCTGAAGAGGGCGCCAAGGCTGAGAGGATGACTCAGCCCTTCCACACACTGCTGTTAATATGTTTGTCCCCTGAAGCATGGAGGTGGCTGATTGCTCCCCATGAAATTTTTATCATTCCAGTAACACTGATTGGCTGCAGGTAATACATATTCAGGCTACAAATCACAGACTCTAGATTTGCATTTTCAAAATTAAAAGCTATTACAGCCTTTGGTCACCATCAATCCTCCCCCCCCCCATTTTTTTTCTTTCACTGTAATTATTGGAAAGATTGTGAAACATTTAACCTCCTTCTTCTTATTATTATTATTTTTTTAATTTCAAGTTTTTCCAAGAGTGGAATAACCATTAATGATAAAGAGTGACTGTCCAACAAACAAGAGGAAGGGGAAATCATCTCAGATGTGTATCTGTTAAACCCCTTCTTAATGTCAGTGCTCATCCTGTGCCCTGCCCCTGTGGGCCCTCTCAGGTGTCTTTCCTCTATAAATAAGCCAGGGAAGAGAGGCTGGAGAGGAGAGCACCGGGACAGGAGTTGGGATTGCTGGGCTGTGTCCTTTATGGGCTCATTACTCCCTGTGTGCTCATGGGCACTGGCCGCAGGACCAGCTACTGAGCATACACCAATGTGTGTGGAGACTCAGCTAAGGGCCTTCCGTGCTTCAGCTCAGTTAATCCTTCTAACAACTCCACAAGCTAGCTACTTTTCTCTTAATCTCCATTTTATAAATGAGGAAACTGAAGTTAAGGTCCATTTTTCAGAGTTCAGGTTCTTGACAAACACTTTCTTCATAGGTAATAACTTACTGTAAGTCACAAGACCTATGTCTTAGTCATCTAGTGCTGCTATAACAGAAATACCACAAGTGGATAGCTTTAACAAAGAGAAGTTTATTTCCTCACAGTAAAGTAGGCTAAAAGTCCAAATTCAGGTGTCAGCTGCAGGGGAAGGCTTTCTCTCTCTCTCGGCTCTGGAGGAAGGTCGTTGTTGTCATCAATCTTCCCCCAGACTAGGGGCTTCCCTGCGTGGGAACCCCAGTCCAAAGGACACGCTGTCTCCAGGTACTTCTTTCTTGGTGGTATGAGGTCCCCAACTCTCTGCTTGCTTCTCTTTCCTTTTATCTCTTGTAAGATAAACGGTGGTGCAGGCCACACCCCAGGGAAACTCCCTTTACATTGGATCAGGGATGTGACCTTAGTAAGGGTGTTAGAATCCCACCCTAATCCTCTTTAACATAAAATTATAATCAGAAAATGGAAGACAACCACACAATACTGGGAATCATGGCCCAGACAAACTGATACACACATTTTTGGGGGGACATAATTCAATCCATGACAAGGTGTTAACTAGAAGAGCTAGCGTTTAAATCCAAGTCTAACTAGAGGGGCCAAGCTCCTAGCCATCATTCTGTCTTGACTCTGTGAATCACTTAATCTCTCAGACCCTCAGTGTCTTCATCTGTAAAGAGATTGGACCAAGTTATTATTATTTTTTTATTGTGCTCTAAGTGAAAGTTTACAGTTCAAGTCAGTTTCTCATACAAAAATTTATACACACTTTGCTATGTGACCCTATCTGCTCTCCCTATAATGTGATGGCACACTCTTCCATTCCACCCAGATTGGACCAAATTAGATTTTTTTTTTTTTTTAAGTGGTTTAAGTTCCCTTCCTGTTCTAAAATTCCCTGTCTGAACTTTATGCTCCACCATGTATAACTTACAATGCTCTCCCACCCCCGGAACCTCTCCATGCTAATTGTGTTACCAAGGGGTGAAGGGAAGACAAGTCCTTTAAAAACAAATCATTCAGAATGAATTATATTTAACAATTCAGAAGTAACAATGAACACCTCTATCGCTTTATAGTTTACTCAGTGCTTTTGTTAGATCACGTTTGAATTTTGCACTATCTGGGAAGGTTTTATTGTTACCCCTGTTTGACAGATGAGGATGCTGAGGTTCAAAGACATGAAGTGATTTATTCAAATTTGCATGGCTACCAAGTTAGGGAGCCTAGACCTGAACCCAGCTAAATGTCTAGACTCCAGACCTAGCATCTTTCCAGGCTTAAACATTTCTCATTTATCCCATATCCATTCTGTACCTCCTTCTTGACTGCCTGCTCTGCATTTGTATTGAATAGTCTTTGCCTTCAGAGGGCTATCAGTCTATTGGGGGAAAGGTTTATTAACTGTATCACACTTCATAAATATGGCAACAGAAGAATAGGAAGAGGACTGCAGAAACACATGAGGTGATGAAATCAGCTGACAAGGAGTCAAGAGAAGGCTTCCAGGCCAACATGATACGGGAGCTGTGTCTCTGGTTTTTTTTTTTTTTTTTCGTTGTTTGTTTTTTTGGTGGCAGTATACACATACATCCATTCACAAGTTCTGCATGAACAGTCCAATAGCATCATTTACATACTTTACATACTTCACATCCTGTCACTATTCTGTCCTTACCCATATTGTTCCATCACCATTAATTTAGACTCTCTGCCCCTGAAATTTCTCATCTGTGCTTTAGATGAACTGTTGTCAGTTTACACTCCATAGATAATTCTTTATAGGAGCGCTATGCTTGAGGCAAACATTCTTTATTAATTGTGCTAAACTTTAGTTTAACAATGGCTTTATGAGATAGTTTTGGTTCAAGATTTAAAGATTATTTCCAGGAATTAGATTCGTCTCAATGGATCTAGTAAGTCTGGTTTCCATATGAGTTTGAAGTTCTGTTCCACACTCTTCCTCCTTTTGATCAGGATCCATCTGTTGGGTCCTTGGGGACTGCATCTTGAAGGCAGATTAGGAGTGAACTAAGGAAGAAGGAAGGGCCTTTAGGCAGAGGTCACAATAAGTACAAAAGCAAAATTCTTAAGGGCACGGCATGATCAGGGAATGGCGAGAAACCACATACGAATGGAACGTAGGGTAGAGCTGCTTCTAAAGGGTGGGAGTGGCAGGACATGGGGCTGGAAATACAGAAAGGAAGAATCCAGTTATGTAGGGTATCTTCTAACACAATAAGGAGTTTAAACCTTATTCTGTAGGCAGTGGAAAACCACTAGAAGCCTATAATCAGAGGGTGATGTGATCACATTGGTGTTACAAAGTTCTGGATTGTATGGGGAGTGAACCAGACTTAGGAACAATCTAGAACACAGGTCACAAGTTTATATGCCTGGTTGGGTAAAAAAAAGTTAAAGTAAAAGGGTGGCTCAGGCTTTTGGGGACTGGCAGAGGGAGCTTCCATGCCTCTCTAGGGGGAGCAGCTACCACTTGGCGCCAGCAGATGGCGCCCTGCAAAAAAAGTTGAACTCAGGCTTTCCAAACTTTTCTAGTTTTTACTGGGAGGAGGCAGAAATCCAGATATTTCTTGTGAAATCTCCCATTTTTTAAATGTTGCAACTGATTTGAAAACTTTTAAATACTATGCAGATCAATAAGAATACATCTATGGGCTGGTTCCTGCAACTGGCTGCCAATTGCAACCTCTAGGCTCTAGGTGGGATACCCATTTACAAAGTATTTATATGGGCCTAGGCAGAGATGATGAGGGCTGGATGCTAGCGGAGGGATGGAGAGGAGGGAGCACTGGGATTATGAAAATCCTTTAAAGGTAGAGAACCCAGCGATTGGGAACTAATGGCCTCAGTGGGAGGGCAAGGAGAGGAGAGTGGGTGGATGACTTGAGGTTTATCAACACATCCCCCACAGTCTGTTTCACACAATTCATGTTCTTGGCAAATACTTTCTTCATAGTCAGTGAAATCTGGTTGAATTTGCTTAGGATGCTAATGAATTAATAAATGTTACACCCAGGGTTATGCATCTGAGTGTAATTATACATTTGCATGCCGTGCCTAAATGAGCAGAGGTAGCTGTGGCAAGAAAACGTTGCATGAAGCAATTGTCTCAATTTGCCTGACAAATAAGGGCCTGGAGAAGGTTTGGGGAAGTACAGATTTCAGTCAAGTGTTGAAATAGCCATCAATGAGACCTTTCATGTCAGAAGATCTGAGCTCTGAATCAGAGATCTGGAGGGCAAACACACCTGCTTGGCACCCACTCCTGACTGATTTTACAGTCACCTTTTCAGAGAGAATCATGTCAGGAGGATTTGGGCGGCCGCAAGGGCTGCCAGTAGAGTCATCTTTATGCTTGACTCGCTTGCATTGCTGGTTACTTAGAAGTTACTCTTTGGCACAGGTTGAATTATCCAAACCACCCAGGAGCCTCCAGCATTAGTCTGGTTAGACCTACCTCCTCGATGGCGGTGCGGAGAATCATCCCCGGGTGAGGGATTGCAGCCCCTCCATTTGGGCGATGAATATTTCATCTTTTACAGTTCGGTGACTCTCTCTGATTCTAGGACATTGCTCCATGTGAGGTGAATGAATTATTTAACGTCAGTCTGCTGATCTGCTGTGTTCTAAAGCTTGCTGCAGGAGGTGATAGTGGGTGCTATGGTCAGACCACAGTGGCCCAGTTGTGGTAGCTGCCTCTCATGACAAGCATGTCTACTTTGGTTTGTGTATGAAGGTCCCAGACAGACACCGAAGGGAATGTCACTGCCGAGTCCAGCTCAGCGGGCATGAACATGGAGCCCAGCCACTATACCAAGAGTGGACAGCCTGCGCTGGAAGAACTCACCGGTGAGTATGAGCCTCAGAAATTCTGGGTCTGTTGGTGATGAGGTCTCCCATGCAACCTGCTGGAAGGACGTGAACCCAGCTTGATTTGAAGTTGTTCTACTGTTGCATTGATCGATGAGCTCAACAAATTTTATTCTGTTTCTTTCTTTCCCTATTATTTTCCTTCCTCTTCCTTCTTCACTTTTTTCTCTCTCTCCCAGTCCATCCTCTCCTCTCCAGAATTGTAAATAAGTCTCTGACCTGTTGGCAAATTCCATTTTAAGATATATTTAATTTCATTTATTTAGGGGCTCAGGACTGCTCTGGTCCTTAACTTTGAATCTCCTTGTTTACTCTTCAGATGAAGTTGCTTTTCAGCACTATTTGAAACTCTCAAATATTGGAATTTTTTTTTTCTTTTCTCTGTGGAAGCACTGGTTTAAAGTTTGTTCTTAGCTTCCTCAATTAATTGGAAAGATTACAGCATGCTTCTTTAAAAAAAAATCTAAATTTTGTTTCAGTCTAACCTAGACAATGATAATTAAAGGGGTATTATGGTTGCACAGCGGTATTGTAGTTAGCACTTGGCTGCTAACTCAAAGGTCAGCGGTTTGAACCTACCAGTTGCTCCTCGGCAGAAAGATGTGGCAGTCTGCTTCTGTAAAGACTACGCCTTAGAAACTTTGTGGGGCAGTTCTGCTCTGTCCTGTAGGGTCGCTATGAGTCAGAATTGACTTGATGGCAAGGGGTGTGTGTATATGTTGTATAAAAGCATAAGATTTGCAGTTGTCACATAATTAATTCCACAGATATTTATTAATGTTACAAGACCCTCAGTAAGATGGATTGACAAACAGTGGCTGCAACAATGGGCTCCAGCATAACAACGATTGTGAGGATGGCGCAGGACCAGGCAGTGTTTCGTTCTGTTGTACGTAGGGCTGCTATGAGTCGGAACCGACTCGATGGCACCTAACAACAACAACTAATCACCTTCTGAATTTAAAGAAGAAAAGCTCATGTCGGGATTGGAATTCCTACTGCAGTGCATTCCGAGTTGCCACCTTCGGTCTCTCATTCCCCAGCTCTGTGCCCTGTGCTCCAGCAACTTCTGATCTGGGAAGTGAGTGGTAAACCACATAGTTAGCAGTGGCTGTGTTACCATTCTCATATCTTCCCACTTTCAGAGTTGGGTTAAAAATCGAAGCCATGTTTAAAATCCGTTTATTAGTCTAAATATCCATGACCACACTGCTTTAATAGCCACATTACCGCTGTGGAATTGGTCTGCAGCCCATGTGATTGAATCTTAATCCATCTCAGCATTAGCTCTGAGTATTCATTTCAGAGGATCTGGGTGATTTAACTACTTCCTTCTGGTTCTGCTGGCTGGGCAGAGTGGTGGTACAGTGATTTTTTTTTTTTTCAAGCTATTTGTAAGTGATCCATCTTACAATGGTTCATGTCCCCACATTTGGGGTTGATTTTCTATTTCCTTCTCTTCCAGGTTTGTAGCTCCTTTGCATATGAGTACATGGATAACACAGGAAAAAGACCAACTAGGAGGAGAAGGGTATGGGGTTCAGATCACTTTTCAAGTCTCCCCACACATTCCAGACTGTTCTTATGTGCACACATCAAAAGAACCCAGCCAGTGTTTCAGAGCCTGGCGTGTATCAGATGTATGCCCGTCCCGTGGAGTTGTGGAGATGCATGTCAGACATGATGAGTCTCAGCAAAATTCATGTTTGAAAAGCGGAAGCAGCAGCCAGAGAACATTCCAAATAGCACTTAGATTTCAGTGTGACAGATTGCTGCCTGTGATCTTCCACTAACTTTTCTTTTTCTCCCCATGTCTCCTCTGCAGCAGGACTACAAAACCAAGTAAAACTCAAAGACCCTGAGAGGCTGGTTTGGGGATGAGACCTGTGCAGCCAGTAGTGCCTGGTCAAGTACTCTTGGGCATTAAATCAAATGGTGTTGGTTGCTAATGAACATGTCTTAAGCAGGGTGACTTGTCTTTTATTCAAGCAGTAAAATCACATGCGTGATTATACTGTGACTTTTTTTTTTTTTAATGGAGACACTGAAGGTTGAATTTAATTTATCCACAGCCAGTTCCTTGAAATGATAACAAACGGTGGATATATTTAGAAATGGACATTTATAAGAACATTGCTTGATTGCATAGTTCTTCCCCTTGATTATGCAAATTGGTGGATTTTCCAGCGATGCTTTGCCATTTACCTAGCACTACAGTTGAGAAATATGACTTGGATTATAGAGTTAGAAGGAACCACATGGGCCACCAGTTTATCATGAATCTCTTCTATACATGAATCCCTTCTATAGCTTACTGATGGATCGTCTTTTAGCCTCTGCTTGAATATTTCTTGTGACAGAAAGATTATCCCTTCATAAGACAACCCTTCTGTGTCTTGATGGCTTTAACTGATAATGGAGTTCTTTATTCTTACATTTCTAACCACTGGATATAATTCAGCTTCTTCAAGCCCTCAGAGAATTTCCATTCTTGTCTATGTAGCAGCTTGTCCCTAAAGCCTCTCTCTTGCAAGTAAAAATCCCAGGTTCCTTCAAAGATCCTTTTGTAACACCTTACCGTCCTCCTAAAAAAATCAAACCAGTTGCTGTTGATTCAGTTTCGACTCACAGCAACCCCATGTGTGTCAGAGTGGAACTGTGCCCCATAAGGTTTACAATGGCTGACTTTTTTCAGAAGTAGATCACCAGGCCTTTCTTCCGAGGTGCCTCTGGGTGGATTCGAACGTCCAACCTTTTGGTTAGCAGCTAAGCACATTAACCATTTGCATCACCCAGGGAAACTCAGCATTTTTGGTGAAGAGGAGTCTTATCAGAATGTGGTACTCTCTCGTTGTGACCAGTGACTTGAAGGAGGCTTGGCAAATTCAAGAGAGCTGCAGATAGAGATGGAATAGCTTAAAATTACCGTTACTTGGTTTTTAAGATCCTTGTAAATGAGCTGAAAGGGCCCTTCCATTTCCACTGGAGCACTGTTGAATATTTATTATGCTCAGGACATGTGTTGGTGGGAAAATCTTACATTGAGGCAATCTTCCAAGGAGGCAGAATTGGCAGTGCAGAACGTGATTCCCTGAGCAAGGCAGGTGGATTAATGGTTTGGCTTTCTACATTACCTCTGGAATCTGTTAGAGCACAAGACTCTGAGGGAAGAAATATTTTCCAGCGGAATCCCCAAGAGGAAAATAAGACACTCACATTTACTGAGCCCTCATTGTATGCCGGGCACCTCATATGTGTCATCTCATCTGAATGTCAGCCTCACCCTTTGAGGGAAGGGTTTTTATCTCCATCTTACAGATGAGATTCGGAGAGAGTCAGCGACTTGCCTGACATCAAGTGGCTAATAAGTGACAGTGTCAGAATTCAGACTTTTATCTGTCAGAATGCAAAGGTCTTACTGTATTTTCACCCCATACTGACCACATATCTGTTGTCCAACAACTATTTCTGAGGCATCTATTTATGTGTGTTTACCAAAAGTAAAGATGAGATACCATCCCTATCTCAAAGATCTTGGAATTTCTAAAGGAGAGTTAAGAGAAGCAAATATGTCCTTGAGAGACATAGATAAATAAATACAGTTACTAAAACCTTTTTGTGTGTAGTTAATTGGTGAAGGTAATTTGAAAACCTGTGCCTAGACCTAGCTTCCTACTAAATGTTCATTCAAGGCCTAGAACTGTCCAGCTGATCAGTACATTTTTGGCAGCCTTACATAGATATAAAATGCGGCCAAACTGGCAGGAAAATGTATTTAATTGATGGCCCAGGAGACAGATGCAATTACATTCCTCCAAGGTCATTAGAGGAAGGCAGAATAGATATTCATCACTGCTTTCACATAAAAACACATACACACATATGTGTATTTTAAAGAATTGGGTGGGAAATGTAAGCTTGACCAGTTTTCAGATAAGAGAAAAATGCCTTCCAAATTTCCCTTGGTTAAAAAGGGGGAGAAAATTGAAAACACTTGCATTTTCAAGGATAGCGAGTTTGCTGTAGTCAATTCCCTCTGTAAAATCACATAATCATATCTATCGTTTAATGCATCCCCAGCCTCCAGGCACAGCTATGCTGAGAGCTACCTAGGGAAGTTGTTGTCTGTCTCAGAAAGAAAGTTAACTATGATATTTCTAAGCAGCCTATTGCCATATTTCAGTGACAATTGCTGAGAACTCTGTTGTTCTTGTTAGCTGCCTTGGCCCCAGACTCACGGCGACTCCGTTCACAGTGGAATGAAGCACTGCCCAATCCTGTGCCTTCCCTATGATCAGTTGCAGATTGGATTGTTGTGACCCATAAGGTTTGTCATTGGCTGGTTTTCAGAAGTAGATTGACAGGCCTTTCTTCCTAGTCTACCATAGTCTGGGAGATGCACTGATACCTGTCCAGGATCATAGCAAAACACAAGCCTCCACTGACAGACGGGGTGGCTGCGCATGAGGTATATTGGCTGGGAATCGAACCTGAATCTCTCACATGGAGGGCAAGAACTCTGCCACTAAACCACCACAGCCCCCGTATGCTACCTAGTGTCCAGTGTAAACTCCACTGCTGCCCACAAGTGCTGTGTTGTATATGGAGATTGCTAAACAATGTTGCTCAACACTTGAAAATAGTCAGAGGCTTTTGAAGAAAGACCCTTGAATGTGATTCCTCAATCTTGTTAGCTCTCCCCGAAATTGCTCTGAGAGAAAAATGTTTGATCCCTTTAATCACTTTTGTAGTTATTCCCCTTTTCTTCATTCATTTATAGGCCCAAATGAAGCAGAATAGCCAGAGACCCTTAAGCATGGCTGTGCTAAGAGAGCATCCTAGCTTATATCAGGCGTATTTCTCCTAGTACATTAATTAGCATCAGCTTAAACTCTGCCCAGCCAGGTGTTTTGTGGGAAATCTTGCCCCGAGAACGGAAGGTGCTGCTGCTTCTCAGTGACTCGGTGCTGTGTAACACACACTGATATGTCCTGAGTGTGTGTGGAGGGCTCTGTGCTAAGGGCTTTCCATGCCTTATCCCATTTAGTCGCTGCAGTTGTCATTTGAGGTAGGTACTCTTGTTGTTAGTTACCATGGAGTCAGCTTCGACTCATGGTGACCTTATGTATGACAGAGCAAAATGTTGCCTGGTCTTGTGCCATCTTCATGACCGTTGGTATATTTGAGCCCACTGATGCAGCTAATATATCAATCCATCCCATAGAGGGTTTCCCTTGTTCTCGCTGACCCTCTACCAAACATGATGTTCTTTTTTAGAGGTTGGTCTTCCTGATGTCCAAAGTAAGTACATAAGCCAGTCGAAGTTTTGACATCCTTGCTTCTAAGGAACATTCTGGTTGTATTTCTTTTAAGACTGATTTGTTCTTCTGGCAATCCACAGCATATTTTAGGAATATGGAATCTGAAGAATAGAGAGGGTCAGCAACTTCCTCCCAATTACACAGTAAGAAAAGGAGGTAGATTTTGAAATGACATAATCTAACAAGGGAGAAGGTAAATCTCTATCTGTAGAAATATGCATGCATAATAAGTGCAGATCTTTTAGCCAGTATGAGTTCCATTTGTAAAATAGAGCTGAGAGACAGCAGCATGTACCACCCATAGTGTGGAAACAATGCCGCTTTTGCGTGGGCAAAAAATGATCCCCATGAAGTGATCAGACCTCAACTGTGTGCATCCTTATTGAAGATCATACAAAATGTATTTACGTCTTAGACTAGCTGCTTTGCTTCCCCCACAGGCTAGACTTCACCTATTGCAGGAGGGACCAGGAGGGAGAAGAAAGACTTCTCTCCTTGGGTTTAACACCTTCCTTTGGGCATCATTCAGGCATTCCTTCTCACGTCCTTATTAGGCACCTATGGTGAGCCAGGCACTGAGTGCGGAACGTGGTGATAGTCACGATCATGGTTGCTGCTCTCATGAAGCTCGCAACCTATCACAGAATTCAAATGGTCTTAATCCTTATCTTCCCAGGGGAAGATCCAGAGGCTCGGCGACTGCGGACAGTGAAGAATATCGCTGATCTGCGGCAAAATTTGGAGGAGACCATGTCCAGTTTACGGGGAACTCAGGTTACACACAGGTATCTACACAATGAATTACATACTGAACTGGATGGTAACTTGGTTCATACACTACCTGTGTTTGTTCATGTCACTAGCAAAGTAATTTGGTTAATAGTGGAAGAAATAACCTTGGTCTCTACCCATGTTGGAACTCACAAAGACTATCATGCAGCATGCAGAAGAGAATTGTAGGGAGCAAAAATTAGTATAGACAGATTCCTCCCAAAAGCAGAAGGTTGCTAAACCCATCCGACATAGGATCTTGTAGACCTGCTCCATTTAAATTTCACTTTACTACTTGCAGCCTCCCAAACTGTATTGTGCTGTTGAAACAAGCAGGTGAACTAGATTTGACCCGTGTGATTAAGTGAATAACTTGAATTCTTACTCAGTCTTCTGATACACAACACTCAGTAATATTGTTAGTCATGCACGTGTACAAATCACGTAAGGAAATATTTATAAAACGTATGATAGTGTTTAAAGTATGATTTTATTGGATGGAATCTAGGATTACATTGGGAACATTTATCAAGTTGTTTTCACTGCTGAGTAAGAAGTCGAAGAAGATGCAACCCTAGGATACTTTCATGATTTTGGCAGGGTGAAGTTTTACACTTTGTGTTTGGCTTTGATCATCAAGGAAAGGTTCTAATGTCCCCCCACTGGGCTCCCTGAGAGTCTCTTTGCTTCTCGAATTGTAGTTTCTGTGATAAATGGATATAGAAGTAAGACCCCAGGGCTTCTCCTTTATCAGCAGGCTTAGCAGAATCCGATTTAATTAACCACTGTGGGTTCTACCTGCTCCGAAACAGAGGGATCCTCAATTGAGGAAAGCAAGGCAGCTTCCAGATCAGAGGGAAACCAGAATAGCTTGAAGCACCAAACTGTCTCTTCTAAAGAAGAGTCACTGGGGATTTGTGGTGCCCTTGAGTCGCTTCTCCTAAACCTTTAGATATTTGAATGGCGTGGAGTCAGATGCTGGGTCCCGTGACTCTATGATCAGGTATGAAGCATCCCTCCTTCCACCATAATCACCGAAACTGACTCATGTTGGTTACAGTGGTTTGATGGATTTCTTGGTTTGGATCTGACCCTCAGTGTAGCAGGATGGTGGTCACGACAGGAGAGAGCCTGATGGTTTCTCCTGTAGGAGTGACTCTCCCTCTCTGATCAGTTAGGAAATCCCCGTGTGGTCCTCGAAGGTGCAGATGACCATCTAGACTGTGCTGCAATAGCCTGTTTGACTGAGAAGATGATGTAGTCCAAAAGGGGGGAGCTGCATCCCCTGGCAGCTTCTGACCCATGTAACTTGATTTATTATGGATCTCAAACCCATGCACTCACCACTCTTTTTGGACTTCTTGTCCCCAAAGTTTAGTTGTCATTTTAAACAAGCAAAAGTCTGGGGGGAATGGATGTTAGACAGTTAGAACGTTAAGGCTCCCCACCTGTTTGCTGGGAGGGAGTGGAGGATGTGAGATGTGGTATGAGGAAGTTGGGGGTGGACGGAGCTTCCTACCTTTAGGAAAGGAGAACTGTGATGCAGCATCCTAGAACAAACGAGCAGGTGGCAACCTGCATGCTCATCTTTACCAGGTCAGCGTTTTCTGTTTTCTTTCCTGGATTAAAAAAAATAATTAAGATCATTTAATTAAGGTAATTAATGATGGATGTCTCATACCATGTTTTAGGGAAAAAATAACTCCACTGGGCTTTCAAGAATGTTATATAGATACACAGCTTCCCTTTTTCATTATGGTAAAATGTCAGGAACATAAAATTTGTCACCTTAACCATGTTTAAGTAGACAATTCATTGTCATTAATTACACTCACGGTGTTGTGCAACTGTCACCACTCTCCATTTCCAAAATCGAGAGCACCCGTTAAGCAGTAACCCCCCATTTCCTCCCTCCCACAGCCCCTGTTAGCCTCTACCTTTTCCTTTTTCGACAGAGAAAATACACTGGGTGGTATCTGTTGTCTTATCCTATTTTGTGTATGCATAATCCTTCATAATTTAAAAAAAATTAACATATGAACTGTAAAGGATACCAGGCATATTTCAGTCTAACTCACAGTTGGTTTTCTTTTTTAGCACATTGGAAACCACTTTTGACACCAATGTCACCACGGAGATAAGTGGACGCAGTATCCTCAGCTTGACTGGTAGGCCTACTCCGCTATCCTGGAGACTCGGCCAGTCTAGCCCCCGGCTCCAAGCAGGGGACGCCCCCTCTATGGGCAACGGGTACCCCCCTCGAGCCAATGCCAGCCGGTTCATCAACACTGAGTCGGGCCGCTATGCATACCCTGCCCCGCTGAGAAGACAGCTGGCGACCAGGGGCAGCAGCATCTGCCATGTGGACGTCTCGGACAAGGCAGGAGATGAGATGGAGCTGGAAGGCATCAGCATGGACGCCCCAGGCTACATGAGCGATGGGGATGTTCTGAGCAAGAACATCCAGACCGATGACATTACGAGCGGGTGAGTACTTGGGGCTTCAGGCTTCTCACCTAGCGAAAGAAGGCTTGGCACCTGGTTTCTGTTTGCAGGACTTTATTTGAGTTCCCTGGAGGAGGTCAAACTGCCTCCTTCAGCTTCTACTATCCATGTGGAGGGGAGCACTGCTGGGTTGTGAATCAGAAGCGCTGGGCCACAGTCTAAGCTTGGCCAATAACTTGCTGGGCGGCACTAGCAAGCCTCCACCGGCAGCCAGAGTGATGCTGGAAAACAAACTATATTGTGTCAGGCCCGGGAACAAACCCTGCACTTAGGATGGAATCCAAGCTCCTTAGCATGGCCTGCCTGGTCTGCATGATCTGGCCTTTGCCTGCTTCTTAGGTCTCATCGTTCTTTTCCCCTCTCCCTTCCCCTATTACAGATGGCTTTTCTTTGTTTTAATTTATTTATTTAAAAATTTTTTGTTGTTGTTAAAATATATGCAACAAAATAGACTCCCGTTCGATGATTTCTGCATGTACAGCTCAATGCTATTGGTTACATTCTTTGCACTGTGTCACCATTTGCATTATCTCTACCCACGGTGTTTCACCACCATTAATTTGTATACTTTCCCCCTCTTAAAGTTCTCATCTGTACTTTAGAGTTACTGTTGTCAGTTGGATCACATAGATAACTCCTTAAAAGTGCAAAATATTCAAGGCTGTCATTCTTGATTAATTGAGCTCAACTGTTGTTTTGTTTACACATGACTTCATGGGATAGTTTTAGTTCAAGGTTTAAAGATTATTTCAGGACAATAAATTTGGGGGTTCCCCCAGTTTCAATGGATTCATTAAGTGTGATTTTTATAGGAGTATGATGTTGTGTTCCATATTTTTCCTCCTTTTGATCAGCATCCATCTGTTGAGTCCCTGATCAGAACATTCAGTAGTGGTAGCTGGGTACCAGCTATTTCTTCTGGTCTCATTGCTGCCATCTTTTCTATTCGTCAGTCTTGTCAAGCTCTTCTCTATTTCACAGCCTATGCACTCTCTGGTTCTCGGCCTGGATCCTCTTCTCTCAGATCTCTGCCTGGCTGGTTTCTTTCGGCTGCTCAGTTGGCACATATTCAGAAAGGCCTCCCTTGACCATTCAACCTGAAGTAGTTTGTGTGTCCCGCCTCTACCCAGTAGTCTCCATCACATCATCCTGTCTTATTCTCCTTTGGAGGCTTTATCACTATTTGAATTTATCCTTATTATTTATTTATATGTTATTGTCCCCCCTCCCCTTGCTACAATAAGTGCCATGAGGCCAGAGACATTGTCTACCTTATTCACCACTGAATCTGTAGCGCCTACCATAGTGCTTTGTACATAATGTTGTTTGTGGTTGCTGTTGAGTTGGCTCCAGTTCATGGCGACTCCATGTACAACAGAACAAAACGTTGCCCAGTCCTATGCTGCCTTCATAATCATGGCTATGTTCAAGTCCAGTGTTGAAGGTACTGTGTATTTTAAGTGCGAAATCCACCAGCCACTCCTTGGAAACCCTATGGGGCAGTTCTACAATGTCCTGTAGGGTCATTATGAGTCAGAATCAACTTGATGGAAATGGGTTTGGTTGGGTTTGGTTTCCCACATAGGGGCTCATCTTCTAGCACTGTATCGGACAATATTCTCTTATGATCCTAGGGTTTTCATTGGCTTATTTTTGGAAGTAGTCTGTCTTTCTTCTTAGTCTGTCTTAGTTTGGAAGCTCTGTCCATCATGGCTGACCCTGCTGGTATTTGAAATACCAGTGGCATAGCTTCTAATATCATGGCAACATGCAAGTCACCACAGTAGGATGAATTGACAGATGGATGGTGATTATACATAATAGCTTATAAGTATTGCTGAATGAATGAATGAATGAATGCATGGATCAATGAGTGAAGAAACCTCCCTGTTTCTCAATGTGTTCATATGTAAAGTTCAGGTGAGGGATGAGATGGTGTCTAAGGAACGTTTTAGATGGAGCAAGCCATGACTTTGTGTAGCATGAGGCCTGGCTTCTTGTTGTTAGCACTGCTTGCAGATCAGCATGTAACCTTAGGGGCATTTCTTTACTTCACTGGCCTGAGACTTCTTTATCTGTTAAAATGAGCTGCCTCAAAGTTCCCCAGGATCTTTTCCACCTCTAACATTCTAGCAATCAAATTACAGATAACTAAAATAGAGTAGAATAATCATGCCACTCATTTCCATGAAAATAGTGATCAAGCACCTCATGAATGTGTTAATATTTTCATAATTTTAATAATAGCTAACTCTCCTACTATGTGCCAAGCACTATGCTAGGTGCTTGCATCTACTGTTTAATCATCACAGCAATCCCTTGAGATAGATGATATCATAATCCCCATTTTATGGATGAGAAAACCAAGGCCCAGGAAGGATAAAGAACTTGCCCAAGATCCCTGCAGCTATTAAGGAGCAGAGTCCAGGGACGGTGGCTCCAGAGCCGAAGTTCCTCAACCACCATGCTGCACCACCTTGGCCTAAGTTTTATTGCTGCTTTGAAATAGCACAACTGCTAGAATTTTTATTGCAAAATGAACTCCCTTCTGCTTAGTTCTGCGTGTCTGGCTAGGAACCCTGGTGGCACAGTGGTTAAGAGCTTGGCTGCTAACCAAAAGATTGGCAGGTCGAATCTACCAGCCACTCCTGGGAAACCCTATGGGGCAGTTCTACTCTGTCCTATAGGGTCGCTATGAGTCAGAGTTGACTCGACAGCAATGGGTACCTGTCTGGCTAGCAATGTTCTTTTATTTACTTAAAAGCTTGTGCATAGAGGTGCTTTGGTTTCGTGCCTCTTGATTTTACTTTGAAGGCAGAAACCACAATACTCTCAGAATATGACACATTTCTGCTCACTGGAATGGCTGGGAAAGTTAATTGACTGACACATTAGATGATCTAGTTAATTCAGAGCATCATCTTGTATTTCTAGTTTTCTGTAAACATGAAAAACAATAACATATACCTGTTACTAAAATAAAAAAGCATATCATTTAACCTTATTATTATTTAGAAGACTTTGGTATCCAGCACGCCTCAAGGTGATCATTATCAATTACCATTGTAATATACTACCAAAAAGTCATGCTTATTTTTTGAGGTTTTTGTGTCTTGTAATATAGAGTTTATTTTATTATCAGATGAGTCTTTTAAACATAAAAAACCCGTTGCCGTCAAATCGATTCTGACTCATAGAACCTTATAGGACAGAATAGAACTTCCCCCGTAGGGTTTCCAAGGAGCTGCTGGTGGATTCAAAACTGCTGACCTTTTGGTTAGCAGCCAAGCTCTTAACCACGGTGCCACCAGGACCCCTTTAAACGCAAAGGTAAGTGAATTTATTTTGATATAGTATTGACAGTTTCCACAAGGTGGAGACATTGACACACTCTAAACTGCAGCTGAGGGATGTTATAGTGAGAAAGTCCCGGTTTCTTTACCCAAACCAGAGCCTTTACCCTTGCTAAAAGCACAAGTGTTTACATTTCAGGTTCTGCTTTGTGAAGCTTGCACTACATTTTTAGCATGTGAGATAGTGCTTAGAACAAGTGTAGATAAAAGTGCAGAAATGTAAGCAAACCACCCAATTATTGAAATCGGAGAAGTCTGGTCTGGGTTTTTCTTCCTCCATTCCTCTTAATACATAAATGTATCTTCAAAATGAGGAGAGGTAGTCAGAGGGAATTTAATGCTCCTCCTCGTTGCAGCATTGTAGAACCTGTGAGTTCACTCTTGGAAAGGCACGTGAGTTTCTGCTTTGAGGCCAGTTTGCCTTTCTGAATGCTGAGTTCTGAGCAAGGCAATTAATTTTCTACTCATTTCTTTTTCCTCGTATTAAAATGACTGTATTGTAAATATTTAAGGACTGGTTATTTGTTCTACACTTCAGAATCTAATAAATAAGTCGTCATTGAGGCAATTGATCTAGTGGAAAGAAAGTACGTTGACATAGCAGACAGACCAGGGCTTAAACCCTGCTCTGCCACTTGCTAGCTATGTGACGTTGTTGCTGGGTGCCGTCTGAGTTGGTTTCGACTCATCATAATAACATGTGACAGAGCAGAACTGTCCCATAGGGTTTCCAAGGCTGTAATCATTACAAGAACAGAGCCACGGGGTGGGTTCAAACTGCCAACCTTTTAGTTAGCATCCACCAGGACTCCATGTGTGACATTAAACCAGAAAACCAAACCCACTGCCGTTGAGTCAATTCCGACTCATAGTGACCCTATAGGACAGAGTAGAACTGTCATTTAACTTCCTGAAACCTTTTAAAATTTTTGCAATTAGATTTTTCTTTGAGATTGTATCTGATTAATGACACATTTATCTGATAAACACAAAATTTCAGCCAGTGTCTGCATATCTTGTTACCCTCAAACATCCAGGTACTTAGAAACAATGAAATGATTAAAGTTTTCATCCAAATCTTTGTTTGACTTGGTGGAAACACAGCTTTGATGGTATGAGTAACGTACAAGTCAGCACAGAGGCTTCCTGAGAAAAATTCTTATAAAAGTTTACAGCAAGTTTATTTAGAAAGCCTGATAGGGAAATAAATTCTGGTTCCTGAAAACCCTATAACCGTGGTTTTTAAAATAACAGCATGCCTTGGCTTAGTACAGCATCTTTTTTGGGTGCCTCATTTCATTTTCTTCACTAGATATGTGTGCTTATGCTTCTTTCAATTCTCGGGAAGGTGGGGCTGAAATTAAATTATTAACTTAGAGTTTAGCTAAGAACCTAATGGCAAATGCTTTCTTTCTTTTTTTTCTTAGTAGTTTAACTTCTTTTTAGTTTTTTGTTTTTTTTTTTAAATTTATTTTCGTTGTTGAGAATATGCACAACAGAACATACATCAATTCAACAGTTTCTACATGAGGCATTGATTACATTCTTCGGGTTGTGTAACCATTCTCACCCTTCTATTTTGAATTGTTCCTCCCCCATTAACATAAGCTCACTGCCTCCTAGGTTTCC